TTAAGATCCTAATTGTCATTAATTGTGAGAAACTAACTAAAGGTGTGGAATTGAAAATATAAGGAAGAAGACTTACCATAAGCGAATATCCAATTCCTCAATCTCCAATTCTTGATCTTTAATCTCCAAGTAGTTCTTTCACAATAAACACACAAGTTAAAGAACCAAAATAATTAAAACCTACTTAAGCACCTTCCCCGGCAACGGCGCCAAAAACTTGATGCGGCATAAACATGTACCAAAAAGGTTGCAAGTGCACAACCGTGTCAAGTTATAGTATTTAAGATATCGATCCCACGAGGAAGGTGTTTTGTAGGAGAAAATATAAAATCGGTTCTTATGTTGTGTGTGTGACAAGTAGGAGTGATAAGTGAATGTGATTGTGGAGAGATAGAGAGAGTGGAAGTGATAGTGTGTAAATCGGCACGAGATATAAGTGAGAGTGGATGTGACAAAGAATGAATATGATCAATAAGGCAAGAAGGAAAAGGAAAATAAAAATCAAGAATAAAGAAAATAAAATTCAAGAATAAAAGAAAATGCAAGAAATTAAAGATGGTGGATTCAATTATAGATATGGGTAATCTACAATTGAACCCACTTCTTAGAAAAGGGTGATTCCCTAGAGGGTTCTAGCCTAAAGGCGAATCAAACAAAATAAAAATAAACAAAAAGAAAAACTAAACCCAAGAGGGTTCTAGCCTCAAGGTGAATAGTATAAGAAATTAAAATCTAACTACAAAATAAAGTGCAAAATCTAAACTACAAAATAAAATTGCAAGAATTAAATGCAAGAAATTAAATCTATTCTATAAGCATGAAATAAATCTAAGGCAAGAGGGTTCTAGCCTCTTGGCTATTTAACAAGAAAATAAAATCTAAACTACAAGCATAGAAATAAATCTACACTAATAAGCAATAAAAAGGAAATAAAAGAGAAAAAGGAAAGAAAATGCAAACCTCTAAATAATTCCTTTTTGTTCTTCTCTAGCCCAAATATAGGAGGCCCATATGATTCATTTGATTTTCAAAAGAAAATCAAATCCAATTGCAAAAGCCAAGTCCGGTTTGATTTTGAAAATCTGCAGCCGGTCCATTAACATGTGATTTTCGGCCCATGAAGAGTTCGGTCCATGACTCATTTGATTTGAAAATCAAAATTGAAGAGCTGCACAAAGAAGTCCGGTCTCCATTCAATATCCAGCAGTCCAGCAAGGCCTTGATGAAGGTTCATTTGATATATTTTTTAAATTGCAGCAAGGTCCGGCCTTTGATTTATTTCCCATAGTCCATTTTCCATTAAACTGATTTCAACTCAATGGCCTTTGATTTAAAGCCCATAGTCCATTTTCCATTGACTTCAACTCCAAGCCTATCAAGTCCGGCCCTTTCAACTCCTTGCAGCAACCACAGTCCGGTCATGAGCTCATTTGATTTTCGGTTTTGAAAAATCCAACTGCAGCCTATTTCATTCCATGAAACATCCCTTGGTTTAATATTTTTGATGGGCTTTGGGCCTTCAAAATTCGAAAATTCACTTGTGAATATAGATGAAACTGCCATGGACATGTTGAGTTGTTTGGGCTTTTGAGTATTTCATTTGGCTTCTTGAATTTCTCTTTATTTCTTCATTTACTCAAGAGCCTTTGTTGAGAGATGAGATTTTTGGGATTTATTCTTTATTAATCTGTAATTAAAGATAAAAGTAATTATTAGTGGTATATTTATTCATATAAAATAGATAATGAGGGTATAAAATTATAATAAAATGTGATTATCACAAAACTATAAAAATGGATCACTCTTGTACTCACCACCATTATCAGAACGAAATACTTTTACTTTTCCAACCTATTTGCAGCTCCACTTTTTTTCACAAATATATCCAGAACCTCATGTTTATGCTTCATGGTATATACTCAATTCCTCCTGGAATAATAATCAATGAAAGTGATAAAATAATTAGCCCTACCAAGAGATGTGTTCTTAGAAGGACCCCAAACATCTGTATGAACATAATTTAATATACCTTAGATGTTATGAATTGCGATGCCGAATTTTACTTTCGTCTTCTTCCCAAGTATGCAATGTTCACACAATTCTATCTTACAAGTATTTGCACCCTTCAATAGCCCATGTTTTGCCAAAGTCTGTAGGGACTTATCATCAGTGTGTCTCAATCTCAAGTGCCATAAGCTGGTAGTATCCTCCTCTGTGGTAATAGAAGCTGTCAGACCCTCTGTTACTGTCTTGCCCTTCAAGTAGTAAAGATTATTTTCCCTGACACCTCTCATCACAACCATGGACCCCTTTGTGAGTTTCAAAGTTATAATTTTCAAGATCACCCTATAACCTGATGCCTCCAAAGTTTTAAGTGAAATGATATTTTTTATCAATTGAGGAACGAATCTCACTTCTTTCAACTTCCTAGTCACACCGACACGCATCCTGATTCGAACTGTTCTAAAACCATCAATGGGACATACATGTTTATTTCCCATTAACACGATATCCCCCCTCTCCAACTCCTGAAAGCTAGAGAACCAATCCCTCCCAGGCAAATATGGTATGTAGCACTCAAATCCAACATCCACTCTGTAGAACCTGCATAACAAACTGACGGTAATGCTAGATATGAATAGCCTGAAGAATCTGAATCTGAATTGTCACCACTAGCTTTAGCAACATTCACCTATGAAGTTTGTCCGACTTTTCCCTTATTCTTTCTGGCTCTATCTCTTAACTTTGGACAATCATTTTTTTCAATGTCCATCCTCTTTGCAAAAAGCACATTGATTCCTATCCATACTTCTATGGCCACCTCTTTGTTTTGACTTTGAGCGATTAAATGGACGATAGTTTGGACTATGACCTCTCACTGCCAATGCATCTCCCGATGCCTTCTCGGAGGGTTCACCATCACTCTTCCTCAACTCATAAATTCACTAATGCTGAGGTTACCTCCTTATAACTGATAGTAGTTCTACCATTAATCATCATAAGGAAAAAGGTACCATAATCATCCTCTGGCAATGAACATAGCAACAATATCGTCTTGTCTTCATCCTCTACCATGATATCCATATTGGTTATATCCGATAGTAACTTTGTGAAGTTATTGACATGCTCTCTAATAAAAACTCCCCTCTTCATCTTGAATTGGTAAAACCTCTTCTTTAAATGAAACATATTCTCAATGCTCTTCGTCAAATACTTGTCATTAAGTGTTTCCCACAACCGTTTCGCTGATGTTTCACTCATGACATCATAAATCAAATCCGGCGTCAAACATGATCTAATAACCCCACATGCTCTACTGTTTATTTTCTTCCAAACCTTATCCTCCATATCATAGGGTTTCTCTTATAATTCAAGAGTCTCCTCCAAATTTTGAGAGTCTAATGCATCCATCACTTGACACCTCCATAAACTAAAATTCATCTTGCCATCAAATTTTTGAACATCAATTTTAGTATTAGTAATGCTCAAACCTTATATCACCTTAGTTAGGGATGATCCGGATGTACTTGCTTCGGTCATTATGAAGATCTAATCTCTTCAAACGAGAATCTGCACGAAATCCTCCAAATCGAACCCCAAGCCAAACCCGAAGCTCTGATACCACTTGTGGACTCAAGTGGTTGATTGCTACAAAAAACTTTTTAAATGTGCTTGAAGTAAAAAATCAAAGATGATTTCTATAGACTGACCCTATTTTAAAGATGATTTCTATGAAAAAACTCAAATACATATTGATATGGTACATGTATGTAGATAATTTGAAGCAAAAATACAAACATAACTTATCCATTATAAATTTAACAAATACTTTCTTTAAAAGTAGTGGTCTCTCTATTATTTTTTAATAGAAAAGAGAGTCTAAAATCATATTTTGAAGGATCAATATAAGATTTCCAACAATGTTCTTTGAGTAAATCAATTATCTTCTTAAAGATTTTAGATCAAAATTCATATCGGAATGTACTTTTCTCCCAATTCGTCAAAATATATTTTGACTAGGCCACCTTGCTCTAGTTTTTCTTAAAAATTATTAAAAGAAGTAAACCGGGAATTTTTTTTCCTCAGAATTGGAGCCCCTAACTGCCGTTAAAAACATTTAGACATCAAAACTAGCCTTAAATTTAAACCGTCATTCTGCTCAACAAATTTAAGGAGAGGGGTTGATAAAAAAGCCCTGATGGTAGCCTGGACTTGCTATCATACGTTGCCTAGGCCCATTTATCTCTTCTTTTCAATAAAAAGGCCTCCAAGCAGGATATTGGTGCGCTCAATTTGTTGCTTTGGTCAGCCCACTGTAGCCCAAAAAAATCTTAAAAACCCCTCCTTTTGAGTTGTTGGGATTGGGATCAAGTCATACAGCCATGCGGCTTTTTTCTTGGAAGCAAAACTTATCGATTTTTTTGGACATATCTAATTTCTTTTTGATTCTAGGGGAAATCTAGTGTAAAAAAAAAAGGAATTCGGATCCTCTCCACTACAAAAAAAAAAAAACAGTGGAGGGACCACTACATAATCACGACCATTGATTATCTAGTTAATGGTTGTGATTTTATCTTTTAGTGCAAATTAGGAATGAGTGCAATACACGGGGGTATGGTAAGTGTTAGATTCAGATTGTATCATAACCGTCTACTAAATAATCAACGATTAATATTAAAAGCAGTGGTCTCTCCACTACTTTTTTGTAGTGGAGAGGATCCAAATCCAAAAAAAAGGCTTATAAACTTTGTAAATGATACAAATGCTCAATAATTATGAATTCACATTACATGTATCATAAATTGTTATTTAGCGGGTTTATTATCCTTTAAAGTAATGTAATTAGGAATATTAAATTTCTGAAAATTTATATTATTCAATAATAAATATTAATTTTATTTAATGTACTTGAAGAACTCTATTTTTTTTCCTATTCTATATCAGTTAATTATCTACTAATTGTTAGAAATTTCGAATAAGGAATTAATATTTCCGTACAAGGTTGCAATTCATTCCAAATTATACACAAATCGTCTACACTGAATAAGCATGATCAAACCTTAAATCACGCTTCGAGAAATCAAATTACACACAAATCGTCTACACTGAATAAGCATGATCACTCACTACTCAACCAGCTCCGTCTTCCGCCGGGCCTCCACAGCCGCCGAGCCTCTCAACCTTCTCCTGCCCTCTCAACAGTCTCATACAACGGCACGTCCTTCGTCTCCGGCAGCCAAAACGCCATCCACCCCGTCAGCACCGACAACCCCCCGAAACTGCACGAACGACACCTGTCCGGCTCAACCGCCCAAGACACCAGCAGGCGCAATCGCCGCGCCCAGCAATCAACGACAGCCTCGGACAGCGACACCGCGAAAGTCTCACGTTCGTCCGGGCAACAGCTCAGCGCAGTAGATGTACAGCCACGTTCGAACGGCCGTCGAAGCCGCCCATTGACCCGATCGCCTTTAAGACAGTGACGGCCAGGATTTCTTGGACTTTGAGCTTGAGCAAGAGGATGCCAGAGCGGTAGGAGGCGACGGCGGCGACGAAGGCAGGAGGAGTATGAAAGAGCGACGCCGGCGGGGGGTGGGGTGAATGGGAGAGAAGAGGCATGCCGAGGAAGAAGCGCGGGATTTCCATCGAGGGTCCGTTTACGGCGACGGAGAAGTAGCAGGTTGAAGGAGAGGTTCTCGACGTTGAGTTGGACGCCGTAGTATACGAAGCCGATGCCGAACCCGGCCAGCATTACTTTTATCACTCGCACTGTGGCCCATTTTGCCGACCACAGGGTTTTTGTGGGCTGTGATTGGGTGGCTGTAGTATCGGTGCCTGCAGGGGAGAGAGCAAATTTGAGTTTTAAGCGAAATCTATGACAACTATCTACAAGGTTATGAAATATTTCAAAAAATCCCTCCATTGCCTAGAAAAAAATCCCTAATAACTATTTGCCTAGGGAGAAAAAGTGTGAATTTAGTACCTGCATCGTATATGGCTAAATTCGCAGGCAACTTCCTCCCATTAACCCTGGCCAACCTCATCAGCACCTCCATTGCCTCCCTCCTCCGTCCCTTGATCGCCAACCACCTCGGCGACTCGCACACAAACGGCACAACCACCACCGAATAAACCACCGGCAACACCGCCACCACCCTGTAAATATACCTCCAGTTCTCTCTCGTTTTATACGCAATCAACGGGAGTGACAGGAACCCGAGGGTGAAGAAGAAGAACCCGTACTGTCCGACCTGGCCTCGCCATTTTCGGCCGACGACCTCGGTGGAGAGGACGAGGCAGCAGATGCCGACCCAAGCGGAGGAAGGCGTAGGTGTAGATGTTCGGGGAGAGGGAGGTGAGGAAGGAGGTGAGGGAGGTTAGGAGGCAGGAGAGGAGGATGGTCTTTTTCCGGCCGAGGTAGGCGTCGGCCAGCTTGCCTTGCGTTGTTGAGCCTGCACACAGAAACAAAGGTTTTAATTAAACCGTCCGTTTCTCATTCGCACGCTATGATATTGATCGATTTTGCATCACTTCAACGTGACGAATGGTATCAGAGTAATCGTCCGATCAGTTGACGATGTGGAACTGAACTAAATGGTATGTTACGTCTGCGTACGCGTCGGGAGCCAACTAACTAAGTCTAGTATCGGAAAACCAAAACGATATAAATGATTTAAATGATAGGTCATGGTATTGAAGTATAATATTGGTTGGTATTTTTGGTGGTGGATCGAGGTAAACAACGTGTTGCACTCAATGAGTCTCTTAGCATATAAACACTGCACCAGTGGGCTGGTAAGCTTGGAACATGTCAATTATAATAAAATCCAAATATTGACACTTGATCATATTTATTGTTTATTATATCTATTCTACTTTTTCACCCATGACGAATCACGTCGTCAACTATATCATATCCAGTTAGAAATAAAGTAGTGGTTTCTTCATCACTTATTGGCAGCATATAAAATACAATATCAAATTTGTGAACACGTTTTTGATGTGGGGCCCATGAGCTGGAGAAGTTCTCGTTTCCTGGACACGTTTTGCTTTTGATGTGGGGGCCACGAGTTGGAGAAGCATGCTAAGAGGCCCATTAGCCCGACTTGTGGTTATAAATATCAATGTGAAGCAAAACCTAGGGCGGTACGCAAGGGGAATTGTTTTTGCGGCTGGGAAAAGCAAAGGCGTGCAAGGCAGTTTTCTCTTTTGCGGCTGAGGCAGAGGGAAAAGTGCAGGGATTGCAGCAGAGGTTTTGGGTATTTTTCAGCAGGAGATTTTTTTTGTTTTGTGCAGCCTTTTGTAGAGAGATAGTGTGAGGGATTTGAGAGTTTGTTTGAGGGTTTAGTTTGTGAATGATTGTAAACCCTAGTTATAATCCCTCCATCTATTAGTAGATCTCCCCCCTCCTTGCCCCGTGGACGTAGGCAATTTGCCGAACCACGTAAAAATTGGTTGTATCGTTTTTGTGTGATTTGTAATAGCTTTTTAGGTTCCCTCGACGCGCAGTCCTAGAGCTGCGCAGCGGAAATTTCGGCAGCACTTAGGCTTCAGATTCTTGTTCCCTTTGAGAAACAAGAATTCTTATTGCGACCTGACTCTCTTGTTGTGCTGCCGAAGTGCTGCCGAAATTTTTGCTGCGCGCAACAAGTGGTATCAGAGCCCAGATTTTAGATCTAGGGTGTTTTGGAGTTTGGTAGAAGAAGATTTTTTGTGTGAGGCTTGGTTCTTGGAGTTCTAGGCTTCGGTGGAGATAGCATTAGGAGTTGCCGTTGGAGATTTTGCTTTTCTCGTGTGGATAGGAGATCTATTTGGAATCCGATCTAGGGTTCAGTTGGGTGGTTCCTAATTCTATTAAATTTGTTCTTTCTCTATAATTTGGAGTTAGTTTGCAATGGGAGAAGAAAGTGAAAGCAGCAAATCGATGGCAAGTACAATACAAGTTGGTTTTCAGAACACTAAGATTAGTGTGGTGAAGTATGATGGTAAAATCAACTTTGGTTTGTGGATGAGCGACATACAGAATGCGCTCAATGCTCAGAATTTGGAAGAGACCATCATGGTCCACGAGAGGCCACCTAAATATGAAGAGGCGGTATGGGAAAAAATGAATAGGAACGCGTGTGGGGTGATCAGGTCATGTTTAGAACAGGAACTGAAATATGATGTGATTGGGGTGACGTCTGCAATGAAGATGTGGGAAATTCTCAACAATAAGTATCTCATAAAGAGTGTTGAGAACAGGTTGCACTTGCTGCGAAGACTCTTCAGATTTCAGATGTCCAGAGGTACCTCGCTAGCAGCTCATGTGAACAACTACACTAAGTTGTTGTCGGACTTGGCGAATGTTGATGAGAAGATATCGGATGAGTACAAGACGATTATTTTGTTGGGCTCCTTACCCGATGAGGAGTATGATACCTTCATGCTCACTTTGTTGAACGGGAGATCTTCTATCAGCTATAGTGAAGTGACTAACGCATTGACCAATTACGATTTGGAAGGATAAGGAGACTTCCCGCGCTAGTACTTCAGGCGAGGCCTTGTCGACGAGAGGTAGAAGCCCATATCCGAAAGGTGGTAACAGAGGGAGGTCAAAGTCTAGAGGCCGCCACCAATTAGCAAAGAACCAATGTGCATTTTGCAAGGAGCAGAGACATTGGAAGAGAGACTGCCCGAAGCTCAAGGAGAAGGAGAATGGCAAGAAAAAGGGCCCGAAGGCCAATGAGGTGAATATTGCGAAAGGCGATGATTCCGATGATTCGTGCTTTTCTTTACTGATTACTCCGGAGGTGAACCATGTGGATACATCAGATTGGATACTTGATTCCGGCGTTACTTTTCATGTGACCCCTAGGCGAGACTGGTTTGCATCTTTTGAGAAAATCGACGGGGGCGTTGTTGTCATGGGAAATGATCAATCCTGTGGCATTTGTGAGATAGGTGTCGTACGGATTAGGATGCACGATGGAGTAGTCTGTGAGTTGAAGGAGGTGAGATTTGTTCCTCAACTGAAGAAAAATCTTATCTCAGTTGGAGCTTTGGAGGCGAAGGGATTCAAGGTGACTTTCGAAAACGCTGTAGCGAAGGTTACTAAGGGATCATTAGTGGTGATGAGGGGAGTCCGCAATCGAAATTTGTATTATCTGAAGGGAAGCACTGAGATTGGCCAGGTTGCTTCGGCTATTTCAGAAGCGGACATGAGTAGACTTTGGCACTATAGGTTGGGACACACAGGTGAAAAGTCACTTCAGACATTGTGCAAGCAGGGGCTATTGAAGGGAGCCAAGAGTGGGAAGATTGAGTTCTGTGAGCACTGTGTTCTTGGCAAGAAGACGAAGGTAAAATTCGGGACTGCTATTCATCAGACGAGGGGCATCCTGGACTACGTGCACACAGACATTTGGGGTCCTACCAAGACTGCATCACTTGGTGGTCGATATTGGTTCGTCACTTTTGTAGATGACTATTCTAGGCGTTGTTGGGTGTACACCATGATGAAGAAGAGTGAATTCCTAGATTTGTTTGTAGAGTGGAAGAAGAGATTGGAACTGCAGACTGGGAGAAAGATCAAGACGTTGCGATCCGACAACGGTGGTGAGTATACTTCTGACCCCTTTCAGCAGCTATGTCAAGACGAGGGCATAGAGAGACACTTCACAGTTAGTCATATACCGCAGCAAAATGGGGTGGCAGAGAGGTTTAATCGGTCTTTACTGGAGAAGATCCGATGCTTATTGTCGCAGAGTGGTTTGGAGAAGATCTTTTGGGCTAAGGCACTTACATATGCGAGCCACCTCATTAATAGGCTGCATTCATCTGCGATTGAGGGGAAAACCCCTATGGAGATGTGGTCGGGAAAGCTAGCACATGATTATGACCAGCTCAAGGTATTTGGGTGCCCTGTATATTATCATGTTAAAACTGATAAATTGGAACCTCGAGCTAGGAAGGCCATATTTGTAGGATTCAAGCGTGGTGTCAAGGGATACAAGCTTTGGGATCCAGTTGATAAAAAGATTGTGCTGAGTAGGGACGTCACATTTGATGAGGTGTAGGTTGTCTAAAAATCACAATAGATAGCTTATCCTCCATCAAACACCGATGATGGAAGTTACAATCTGACGACTTCCAGAAGGCTGCAATTTGAAGACTTTCACGTAGATCGCTGAAGGTTACAATCTGACGACCTTCACGACAACCGATGAGAGCTCTAGTTCAACAGCATTCACAATCAACATCGGGAGTTACAATCTGATGACTCTCATATTCTCAAGGAGCCAAGACGAAGATTACAAGACAATGATCTTTGCAACTCTATGACAAAAGAGATTACTTTGTGATAATCTCTTCAAGATAAGACGCGGAGGTCCTCCCCGTGTGCCAACATCAAAACGCTGGGGTCGAACTCGCGTTACAACATCAAAACGCTAGGGTTGAACCCGCGTTACAACATCAAAACGCGAGGGTCGAACCCACGTTACAACATCAAAACGCTGGGTCGAACCCGATACACAATCAAACGGCAGGCGAACCCACGTGTACAACAGTCAAAACGCTGAGTCGGACCCGCGTTAATAAACAAGCGAAACGTGAGCTGCCCTCTGCGTTCTGGATTTCGTCAACACCCAACCTCGGCTCTCAATCCTAAGACACGCGAGGTTAGGCATCGAATGCCAACGTGGCCGTTTGACTCATTTCAAATATGCGTCCAAACGATGTCAGGACACCGTTTTTCCCCTCGTCTGAGGCAAATCACGCCCACTTAGGACGTCGGATTTAGAGGCAGTTACACCCCCTTAATCCCCTCATAAAAGTGAGTAAACTCAACTGGAGTTAGGTTCACTTTTTAGTTGACTTGAATCGACCATTGAAGGCTGGCTTTTGGAGCTGAGAATTGCAGCAACAGGGGAGATCATTGGCGAACTTCGGCAGGAGATCGGCATCATCCTCCAACGAAGATTATCTTCACTTCGACAACGAAGAGCTTGATCCTTGGCCCCTTATCAACGAACTTTCGGTTCAATAACTCTTTTTCAAGAGTTTCAAACTCGATCAGAGTTATCAACTCAATCAAGAGTTTTAAATTGCCACGCAAGTTTCCACAACCGTCAAGATCGCTGAGGAGAAGACATCATGTCCAGTGAATACAGAGACGTGCGGCATCGTTCAACTGAGAGCAGCAAATTCGACGCGCAGCCAATCGAAGGAGCATTCCATCGCTACCGAGAAGAACCCAGTTTTAAACAAAGGAGAGAATCAAATTCGTTCTCTTCTCTTTTGTAATTAAATTGTAATCAGAATCAAAGGAATACAAATCAATTTTCTTTGTTCTTTTCTTTGCAATTTTTCCTCCAAACATGAGGCTTCTATCTTGAAGCTTCCCAGCTCTCATCAGGTGGAGAACGACCCGACGGAGGAGATATCGCAGGTGGTGGAGATCGATGCAGCTCCACATTGTCCAGATGGTACAGTATCCATGCAGGTGCCGACTGAGGTGACGCCAGGCGAGCATGACGGTGACACGGAGGATACGAGTACAAATGTGCAGGATCAGGAACCGACGGCTCAGGTTCAGGATTCTATTGCGGCTAGGAGACAGAGGAGAAACATACAGATGCCAGCACGGTATGCCGACACAGTTGCGTATGCACTTCCGGTGGAGAGTATCGATGAGTTAGTGCCTACTACATTCAGAGAGGCCGAGCAGAGTTCGGAGGCTGATTCGTGGCAGGTGGCTATGCAGGAGGAGATGGAATCTCTTCATAAGAACGATACATGGAAGCTGGTTCAAAGCTAGGTTGGTTACGAAGGGCTATGCACAGGAGGAAGGTATTGACTATAATGAGGTTTTCTCTCCGGTGGTGAAGCACTCTTCGATTCGGATTCTGTTAGCTTTGGTGGCACAATATGGTTTGGAATTAGATCAGTTGGATGTGAAAACGGTATTTCTTCATGGTGATCTTGATGAAAAAATATATATGACTCAGCCATTGGGATTCCGAGCTGCAGGGAAGGAAAAATTAGTTTGCAAACTGAAGAAATCGCTATACGGTTTGAAGCAGTCTCCTCGACAGTGGTATAAGTGATTCGATGGTTTTATGATTGGTAATTCGTACACTCGGAGCCAGTTTGATCCTTGTGTATATTTTCGCAAGTTGAAAGGAGGTGCGTACATTTATTTGTTGCTCTATGTCGATGACATGTTGGTTGCCTCTACTTCCAGGTCGGCTATAGATGAATTGAAAGTTCAGCTATCAAATGAATTTGAGATGAAAGACTTGGGTGAGGCGAAGCGTATTCTAGGGATGGAGATCGCCAGAGACAAGAAGAATGGCAGAATTTGTTTGACACAGATGGCTTATTTGAAGAAGGTTCTACAGCGATTCCATGTTAGCATGGATACGAAGCCAGTTAGTGTACCATTGGTACGCAAGGGGAATTGTTTTTGCGGCTGGGAAAAGCAAAGGCGTGCAAGGCAGTTTTCTCTTTTGCGGCTGAGGCAGAGGGAAAAGTGGGGATTTCTTCTCGGCATACAAGAGCGCAGGAGATTTGTTTTGGTGCAGTCCTTTTGTGCAGCCTTTTGTAGAGAGATAGTGTGAGGGATTTGAGAGTTTGTTTGAGGGTTTAGTTTGTGAGTAATTGTAAACCCTAGTTGTAATCTCTCCCTCTATTAGTAGATCTCCCCCCTCCTTGCCCCGTGGACGTAGGCAATTTGTCGAACCACGTAAAAATTGGTTGTATCGTTTTTGTGTGATTTGTAATAGCTTTTTAGGTTCCCTCGACGCGCAATCCTAGAGCTGACGAGAGGAAGAGCTAATATCCCACTTTGATGGGATATTAGGCTTCAGATTCTTGTTCCCTTTGAGAAACAAGAATTCTTATTGCGACCTGACTCTCTTGTTGTGCTGCCGAAGTGCTGCCGAAATTTCCGCTACGCGCAACAAAATTTGCATATTTTTTACTGCCAAAAAGATGTGAAAACCCTTACTATTTTTATTTATGATTAGAGATTATATGATAGAGAAGTGTGATTCATTCTAGATATAACATGTATCATCTATCTCTCGTAAATTGAACCCAATAGACATTTGTTTCAAAAAATGGTTACTTTTCAGTTTAATTATCACTGCCCTTCTATCGAGACCCCTTCGTTGTGTGATCCGATCGAACTTACCTGGTCCGAGTCAAGACTTAAAAAAATCCAGGTCACGAACAACAATTATCCTAAAGCATTATCAAAATTTAAAACCACAAACTAAAGTACGGACACATCAACACAACCGCAAACTTAAAACCACTAATCACCACACAAATCCACAATGGTATAATTAAATAACAAACGTACCTAAAAGAGAACCAATGAAGAACAAAGAAGCAGGAACTCCAGCCTTAAACTTATTCCCACAAATAAGCCCCCACTGTGCAATCGTAGAGCTCTTATTCCCTCCGACCCACTCCCACTCTCCTCGGTCGAGCCCACACATTGTTGACGACGATAAGCACGTCGTCGATGATGGATCAACGCATCTCCATTGAGGCTGGGCGTCGCTAAATATCGTCACGAGGGTGTTTTGGGAGTCGAACATCCACGCTATCGACACCAAGAAAACCTGCATAAGTTTTTCTGAGAAAAGTTCTTGGCCTGAAAATTATATTGATAGTAAAAAGTAATTGATATTCCTTAGTCTTTGTTCATTCTGTTTTCTTATTTTGTTGTACCGTCTTATTTAACTGCAAGTGTGAAAGTGGATCCATGTCAACATGAAAGTGAAATGTAATGTTTGTTTGTAAAAATGAATTAATCTTGGAACTAGGAGAATAAAGATGATGTGGTAGTTATTTATTTATTTGTTATTTAAATTTATATTACACTCTAAACTCTAATAATTATTCTGGTAACAACTAAAGAACGAATTAGAAGCCTCAGGTATATATATCATCAATTACTTGTACTAATTTTTATAGATTCTTTGTATTCTGTATTTTTTTACTTATGTACTTTATATTTTTTTAAATAACGTAATGGCTTATTAAATGCCTAGTCATGTTACAACTGTACAACAATCACGCTAAAATTTGTAGTCATGTTCATAAATTATCTAATTCGTACTATATACATGACATAACAATGTACACAGCTATTAAATACTATAAAAGAAATAATATACTTAGCAGGTAAGAAAATTTTTTTGGGGGGGGGGGTGGTTGTTTCCACCGAATAACATGGGAAAATAAGGTAGGATAAATAATAAATATACTAATTAATTAGGAGTGCTCCCCACTTTTTTCTCACTTTCACTTGACTTCAGCATTTTTTTGGGGGAACTTAAACATGCATTAGACTTGATGTGGACTCATTTTAACATTTCACTTTCAAAATTAATTTCAATAAAACAAACACCAAAAATTTTAAAATCATTTCACTTTCACACTTTTACAATTCACTTTCATAAAAACAAACACCCTCATATTGTAATGCCCACTTATTCGTCTCACGGAAATTTAGGAAAGTATAGATGGATCATGGGAATAAGTGCAACAATGACTAGTCATTTTATGTCCGGTAAACGTAACAATGAGATATCTTCCTCTTTTTCCTTGTTCTCACGGGTCAAAATATACACTAGTTTTCACAATTGTTTCCCTCCATTCTGTAGATTGTTTGACTGCAAAACCTATGGGCCTGATCGGAAACTTTTCAAAATGGAATCACAGATTGATCCTGTCCCCATTATGGGAAGAATGTTGTTTGGGAAAAAGTACATTTTGGCTTAGTATTCTCTGGGCCGAAAAAGCCTTCAAACCTGGTGTTATTTTGATCCATTAACTTCTCTCCATATTCTATCAAAATGGAACCAGTTTAGCTCAAAACTAGGGAGGATTTGCTGTCCGCTAAGCAGAGTTTGCCATATTTACAGAGAAGAAATTAAACCTGTATAAGTTGCGCAAATCCAAAGGAGCCAACGTGATCTTCAATGATCTCGTCGACTGTTAGCTCTAGCTTGCTGCCTCCGCTTGCTTCTTGATCTACATTTCCGTTTTGGGATCGTGGTTCGTTTACTATTTCTGCCATGGTTTAGGTTGTGGTTTTTTAAAGTATGGAAAGTGGAGGAGGGTATATATAGGGAAAAGATAGATTTGCATTTTTAGCCATGTGACTGAATTTGTAATTTGCAGTTTTGGGCGTTTGTGTTTTTTAAAAGTTAATTACGTTGACGTCGGTTTTTGTTCGCTAGTGCAAAACACTTGCGGCGTTTTCAGTTTCTGAACTGATAATTTTGCTACTTCACAAGTTTTTTGCGGTTGCAAGTTGCAAACAAAGAATGGGTTCCACTCATTAATCTGCGAGGTGAGTTTCGTGACTAAATTATTTTGAATTCAGAAGCAGAGCTGAGTTCTTCATGCATGAAAATATATATCCAAAATATTGTTTATTGGAGAGATTGAAAACATGCATTGAAACACAGACTACGATAAAATTGTTTGGCTCTTTTAATAAATTTGAAAACTATCCTACTTACTTTTTAGAGGGTTTAGATCACAGTGTGACACATATCATTTGTTAAAAAATGAATTCATGCCAAATTAAGTAGAAGAAGAAGAAAAAACAGGAGAAACATGGTGTAGCTAGTGATTAGTTAATTAAACGTTTCCTCCAATCCTTTTCAAGCTCATTTTCCCGGAGCTTTCAAGCTCTTAATGCAAATGAACATACATATAATGTGAAGTGTTTAATGCGTGACTCGGACCAACTTTGAATCGTATGTAAATGTGATAAATATTGAAAGATCTAAGAGAATTTGATAATATTATTCATTGCATTGAGATATTTATATACAAGAGTAAGGGGGAGAAGTTCTTCTTATTGGATTTTTTGGTCAAAACCGCTTTCCAAAAAATAAGTTTTCAAACTATGTATGTATTTATTAATTACTGGTATTTTTCAGAAATCCTTAGTAGCGTAGCAGAAAGTTAAAGTTTTGCTGTTTCAAAAGGTCCTGTGTTCGAGACTCGAGAATTATTTTTATTCAATTAATCTCTCATAAGTTCTAGTAGGCCGTGGACCAATGGGCTGGGGATCGGGGCTAATCGGACTGAGATGCTAAGTGATGCTTTGTAAGACGCACATTGCACTTCGCACGGAGGCATCGGGGCTAGGTGGCGACACGTTAGATATCACCGTGGCCGCCACGCAGGCTGCCTCGCAACAAGGGAAAGCGACTCTCGCGTTCACACGAGGTACGACCATCGCGTTTGCGAGTCTCGATGCGACCCTCGCGTTGCGTAGAAACGCGAACCTCGCGTTAAGGCGTTACTACATGTAGCAATCAATTCATTTGTTGTTACAATCATAATTATCATTATGATTTGTAACAGTCATATTTATGACTATTTGTGACCCTTGAGCTGGCTTTAGAGGCCTATAAATAGTGCCCTTGGAGCAGCTCTTGTGGATACCTGAACACATTGAAGTGTTGAATCTATTGAGCTATTGTGCTGCTGCTGCAGAGTTTAAAAGCGTGCAAGTTTTAGTCTGTGCCCAAAGGAACATAACCCTGAACCGAAAGGTTTTTACAGACTGAAAGATATTTGTTTTAACCGAAAGGTTTTTTTCAGATCGAAGGATCTTTGCCTGAACCAAAAGATTTTGAACCTAAATGTTTTAACAGATCAAGGAGATCTTTGCCTGAACAGAAAGGTTTTAACCAAAAGGTTTTGAACCGAAAGGTTTAATAGATCGAGGAGATCTTTACCTTGACCAAAAGGTCTTATAGATCGAGGAGATCTTGACAATACTTAGTCGGTGTATACCAGTGTACTGTATTGTTGTTCCTTGAAACAGTTTGGCCTTGGGATCCTTACACCGGAGTAGGCCAAATATTACTTTAAGCAAAACGTTTCATAAACGTACAGCAGCTAAACTTGAAAAGGTTTTAAAAATATAGCATTTCAACTATCTAATAGATTTATCTATTTTATTCAAATTTAGCCATAAACGTCAACAATCTTACAGCAATATTTCTAATCTACAATGGATCCTACGAGGACACTTGGAGTGGACAGTCTTAAGTTAGAAAACTTTGACGGATCCAACTTTAACGCATGTCGTCGAAAAGTGATTTTCGGGACACAACTCCTGAAAATCTACTATGTGATTTTTGAGGAGAAACCCGACTCTGAAGAAAATTCTGAGTCTGAAGCCTCTTGGGCTAGAGATAATTACTTCTGCAGGAGTTATCTCCTTAACTGCTTGGTCGATCATTTAGCATATGCTTACACCAATAAACCATCTGCAAAGGAAATCTGGAATGCTTTGGAGGACCTGTACAATGATAAGGAGAAGTTGTCCAAGTCTCACCTCGTTGACAAGTTTCTGGACTTCAAATTCGAAGTCAAAGAGTTTGAAAAGCTTGTTATGAAGCTGAAGGATGAAAACATCAATCTTTGTCAAACATTCATTTCTGTGCAATTATCAACAAGCTTCCTCCATCTTGGATGTTATTCTTCACTGACATTCGAAGAAGGAAAAGACAGGTGACTTTGTCAGATTTGAAGAGGTTCATTCGGATCGAGGACGAGATTCGGACTCGCACGAAGAATGAGCTCCTTGTTAAGCAGAAGGCGTTTGTTAACATGGTGACTGTTAACTCTGAGAAGAGTACTAGTTCTTCATCCAAGAAGAAGAAGAAGTCATTTGTCAAAAATAAGAATAAAAACCTAAAGAATCTAAATGTTCAGAAGAAAGAGTTCAAGAAGAACAACAAACGCTTCAACTGTGGGAAGCAATGACATTTTGCCAAGGACTACAAAGTACTAAAGAAGGGAACAACACACAATATTAATCAAGTTGATAATTGTATGGCTATGCTATTTCAGATGATAACTCCTAACAACATTTCTGGTTGGTGGTTAGACACAGGTGTTACCTGTCATGTCTGCTCCTACAGAGATTTATTCTCTTCTTATGTTACTGTCAAAGAGAACGTATCAATGACTGATCATTCTGTAGTTCATGTTCTTGGAACTGGGACTGTGGTGTTGACTCTCACATTGAAGGATGTGAAACATATTCCCTCAATTGCCAAAAACTTAGTCTCTTAAAGTCTGCTATGTGACGCATGTATGAGGCTGAATTTCTAAGGAGGAAAGGTTGTGCTATCTTTTAAGAAAATGTATTTTAAAAATGCATATCACACTAATAGCATGTATAAGATCAGTACTATTGTACCCAACTCAGTTATAAATAAAATATCCTCTTCTGCTTACTCCTTTGTGTTATGGCATAATAGGCTGGGACATGTAAATTATAGAAAACTGTCTAGCATGGAAAAGGTTGGATACTTCCAAAATGTGGGGGTAACAAACCTGAGAAGTGTGAAGTTTGCGTGCAAGCGAAACTGACAAGGAAACCCTTTCCAAGCGTCACAATGAGCACCAACCTATTGGATCTGGTTCACTCAGATGCTTATGACTTCAAGAGCTTCGTCACTCGAGGTGGCATGAAGTACTTCAGCACATTCATTGATGATCATTCTCGCTTCTGCCACGTCTACCTATTGAAATCTAAAGATAAAATATTCAGCAAGTCTATTGAGTTTCGGGCTCGTGTGGAGAAGCAGCTTGGACTTTAGGTGAAAAGACTCGGGTGCGACAGAAGAGGAGAGTACCGATCTAAGGAGTCGAAAGCATACTTCAAGGAGCATGGGATCATTGTTGAAACTATTGCTCCATATTCTCCGCAATCCAATGGGATTGCAGTAAGGAAGAATCGCACATTAATCGAGATTGTGAATTCGATGCTAATCACATCTGGTCTACATACCTGCTAGTGAGAAGAGGCTATGCTAATGGCAAACTGGATTCTGAACAGGGTACTCTATTCCAAAACTGACAGTACTCCTCATCAATTATGGTTGGGATATCCAGATCTTTTGGATAGTCTCAAAGTGTGGGGGTGTCTCGCATATGTTTGAGTTTCAGATATCAGAAGGCTTAAGCTCGGACCAAAGACAAACATGTGTGTGTTTCTTGGCTTTACTGAAGATAGCGATGCTTATAGATTCCTAGACCTTGGAACCAACTCCGTCATTGAAGCTCGGGATGCAGAATTCTTTGAGGATAAGTTTATCAAGGATAAAGGTTTATTGCTCAAAAATATACCAGAGAATGCTGGTACATCAATGCTGGCACGTCAGATGCACTACAGATCATTGAAGCTCGGGATGCAGAGAATGTTGGTATGTCAGAAGCACCAGAGGAGTCAATTTCACAAGAAATTGAAAGTTTCAATGATGAATGAGTTACTGAATCACCTTCCAAGCGTGTTAGAAGAAAGAAAGATTTTGGAGATGACTTCATCACCTATAATGTGGAAGGAGATCCACAAACTTTCTAAGAAGCAACGCAGTCAACAGATGTTCTTTTGTGGAAAAAAGCTATAAATGATGAGATGGATTCATTGATCTAAAATCATACTTAGGAGCTGGTGGATGTACCTGAAGGTGCAAGGCCTATCAGTTGTAAGTGAATCTTCCAGAAGAACATTCATCCTGATAGTACTATTAAGAAGTACAAAGCAAGACTGATGGTAAAAGGATTCTCTCAGAAAGAGTGAATAGATTTCTTTGATATCTATATATCAGTTTGTAGGATTACTACCATCAGAGTGCTTATCGCATGAGCGGCGATAAAAAAGTTTGTCATACATCAGATAGATGTTAAGACTGACTTTCTCAATAGAGATCTCATAGAAGAGATCTACATGAAAAAACCAGAAGGACTTAATGCTCCAGCTGGTAAAGTTTGTAAACTTATTAAGTCTCTATATGGACTTAAGTAGGTACCGAAACTCTGGCATGAGAAGTTTAATGGAGTTGTTCGCAACAATGGGTATCAAGTCAGTGAATCTGACAAGTGCCTATACATCAAGGTCGATGAAGGAAAGGTGGTGGTTATATGTCTCTATGTGGCTAATATACTCATCATCGAGAGTGATTTGGAGATAGTAATATCTACCAAGAATTTTTTTTAGCACAGTTCAGCATGAAGGACCTTGAAACTACAGACGTAATTC